AGATGATATGACCCAATTACAAGAATTCCATGAGGCTATACCTACAACATCATGGAAGAATGCACTTACTGAATGGATTCCAGAAGATATCTGGATTTCTTTAACAAATGATATGGGTATGCGAGTTTAAAGTACATTAATACAGGCTCATAAGTCACACTTTCCTAATGTACCTTCAATTATCCACTTTGATCCAGACGAAAGTGTCAAGCATATGTATCGCATTCAAGGAAAACCTATGCAGATTCCCAGTAGCAATGAAATTATTGAAGCATATGTTGGTATGATGGTAAATGTACCACTTGAAATAGTACTATGCGGACTCCCTGCTGAGTAGAAATATGCTGGCTGGGGAACAATTCATAGAATCCAAGGACAGACTGTTGAGCCTCCAAAACGTTGTTTCATTGTGGACCATAGCCTGGAAGGTTGGATTAACAATGCCATATATATAGTCTGCAGTCGAGTACGATACATGAATCAAATGATTCAAGTTAAACTACCAGACGGTATTCTTGAATATATTGAACCTACTGAACTTCAAGCAACTCCTTGTCCCCAAATTATTGAGGCAAAATTAAGACACCATAGGCTAGATGATCAAAAAAAGAAGTGACACTTTCCAAGACCGCTTCTGATAGTTGAAGATTGGCAGGTAGATGATAAGATTGATTTGATTGAGAACACTACGGTATTTGAAAATCCTCTCTATCTAGCAGAGAATGATGAGGAGAAAGCTATTTCAACAATCACGTCAAAAGAGATAATTTCTATGGCATATCAGCAAAAGAAAGTTTGTAAGGTATGTTGTGTTCCACTTTTATTCTAAGGCTATCCGAAGTGCTATCCGCAATCATTTTCAATTGATCGAATTGACGATTCTGAGGTCATTATCTTCAGAATGTAAGACTTACCTATCTCCGGTGTAATGAAAGATACCACCATTAAAGCTCCTTTGGTCATAAACTTTCAGGAAACTGGATATCATCAGATGGGGTTAGATCTTTGCCATATGACGATTTCTGCATCAAGGTGTATAAAAATATGGTGAAAGATGGTATACCCCCTTGAAGAGGCTGAAAAAAGAGCTATAAGGGCCAAGCTCCCAAAGAAATATCGCTCCTTTGATGCTAAGCATCTGCAGGAGAAAATAGATTAAGAAAAAAATACAAGAATACCAAAATTTTAAATGACAAATACCTTCTCTCGCAGTTTGATAGAACAAGGGGGTAGAAATATCAAAACGAATGTACGTTTCACATAATCAGCTTCTGACAATAAACTAGACTTGTGAGCGAGTTAGATCAGCCAAGTCACAGAGATTATATAATTATTAGATTTTTTTTCTCCTGAAGGTCTTGACCGAAGGAGTGGGTCTATTTGGCTAATCTATGATAAGAAAACTGCTTGACCGCTCCAGCTACTTTGGACGTGGATATCTTGTATATATATGCTTTGTATCTTCGATGCTCCGCAACCCATGAACATATCTGTGAACATATCTTGTGTGTTCTGCAACCCGTGAACATATCTGTGAACATATCTTGTGTGCTCTGCAACTCGTGAACATATCTGTGAACATATCTTGTGTGCTCTGCAACCTGTGAACATATCTGTGAACATATTTTATGTATATATGCTCCGCATCTTCAATGCTCTGCAACCTGTATACATATCTGTGAACATATCTTGTGTACATATGCTCCGCATCTTTGATGCTCTGCAACCCGTAAACATATCTTATGTACATATGCTTCGCATCTTTGATGCTTCGCAACCCGTGAACATATCTTGTGTACATATTCTCTGCATCTTTGATGCTCCGCAACCTGTGAACATATCTGTGAACATATCTTATGTACATATGCTTTGCATCTTTGATGCTCTGCAACCCGTGAACATATCTTGTGTACATATGCTTCGCATCTTCGATGCTCTGCAACCTGTGAACATATCTTGTGTACATATGCTCTGCATCTTCGATGCTCCGCAACCCGTGAACATATCTGTGAACATATCTTGTGTACATATGCTCCGCATCTTTGATGCTTCGCAACCTGTGAACATATCTTGTGTACATATGCTTCGCATCTTCGATGCTCCGCAACCTGTAAACATATCTTGTGTATATATGCTTCACATCTTTGATGTTTCACAATCTGTGAACATATCTTGTGTACATATTCTCCGCATCTTCGATGCTCAGCAACCTGTGAACATATCTGTGAACATATCTTGTGTACATATGCTCTGCATCTTTGATGCTCCGCAACCCGTGAACATATCTTGTGTACATATGCTCTGCATCTTCGATGCTTCGCAACCTGTGAACATATCTTGTGTACATATGCTCCGCATCTTCGATGCTTCGCAACCCGTGAACATATCTGTGAACATATCTTGTGTACATATACTCCGCATTTTCGATGCTTCGCAACCTGTGAACATATTTTGTGTACATATGCTTTGCATCTTCGATGCTCTGCAACCTGTGAACATATCTTGTGTACATATGCTCTGCATCTTCGATGTTCTGCAACCTGTGAACATATCTGTGAACATATCTTGTGTATATATGCTTTGCATCTTCGATACTCTGCAACCTGTAAACATATCTTGTGTACATATGCTTTGCATCTTCGATGCTCTGCAACCCGTGAACATATCTTGTGTATATATGCTCTGCATCTTCGATGCTCTGCAACCTGTGAACATATATTGTATACATATGCTCTGCATCTTCGATGCTCTGCAACCTGTGAATATATCTTGTGTACATATGCTTCGCATCTTCGATGCTTCGCAATCTGTGAACATATCTTGTGTACATATGCTTTGCATCTTTAATGCTCCGCAACCCGTGAACATATCTTGTGTACATATACTTTGCATCTTCGATGTTCTGCAACTTGTGAACATATCTGTGAACATATTTTGTGTACATATGCTCCACATCTTTGATGCTCCGCAACCCATGAATATATCTGTGAACATATCTTGTGTATATATGCTCTGCATCTTCGATGCTCCGCAACCCGTGAACATATCTTGTATACATATACTTCGCATCTTCGATGCTCCGCAACCCGTATACATATCTTGTGTATATGCTCCACTTTGTTCCGCAGAATTGGCATTCATATTTGCTTTATGATTTGCATATCATCTACCCACTTATTGTATTCACAATTTGCTTACCGCTTCACTTCGTTCCGCATACAGTAAGCTTATTTGCATTCAAACAATTCATGCTAAATAAAAAAATAAGTTAGTATTTATAAGATTTCAAAGAGTATAGCTAAGTAAGATTACAAAATAGTATTTCTAAGATTGCGGAGTCTTCAGCTAGGCAAGAAATATAATTAGTCATTTTAATGAGCTAGAGATGCGAGAATTAGAAAAAGTATACATAGGAATATAGCAAGAAAGCACTGAAGAGGCTATTACTCCTTAGTGGGAATGCTCCTTATCTCCTCCTTTCAGGTTCAGGCTGACGATGTAAATGTTCACCTTTAGATTCATAACATTTACAATAAATATATTGTGTAATACCAATTTCATCAAAGTTTCTTTTAGCAATTCCTTAACATTTATATAATGAATTACAAGTAAAGAGTCTAATACAAGGTATTTGAATGTTCTTTCTGAAAACATTCTATGAATGTTCCTTATATTTAACTCTGCAATCCAAGAAATAAAAATTTTTACAGCAAAACAAATAATGAAGTCATCTAACTTCACTTTGCTAAATTTTTCGCATTTATTTTGTTTTAGAACTATGATTCTTTTGGTTATAGTTAAAATGCTGCATACACACCCTAATGTTAATCGGTCTGCCTCAAATTCTATTGCCACATTTGTATCAATTTGCCAAACGCCAACTAATTGACAAATATTTTAACATTCTTCGTTTTACCACAAGTTTATAATTTACTATCTACTAAATCAACAAGAACACATGATGATAATAAAGTTGTTAATTTTGGTTCACAAATTAGTTTGCTTTGTTTCTCGATAGGTATTAGAGGTAGAGTTTTTGTTGGTATTGATGAAGGTAGAATTCCTGTTGGTATTAGTAAAGGTAAAATATCTGTTGATATTAGTGAAGGTAATGATGGTAATAGTGATGACGATGATGGTGAAGCTGGAATTTTTGTATTCTCAATATCATCTTGATAATCATCATTTTTATCACTAATTATAATTTCTTGTTCAAGCTCTGCTTGTGCTTTAATATATTCTTCTTGGTTAAATACAAATGGTTCTAGTTTAAGTAACTTATTAAATGCTTGTTTATCAAAAGATTCCCAACTTACGTCAGAATCATAGTCAGAAAAGTCTTCACTTTCTTTAGAGTCATGAAATTCCATTTTATTTAATAATTGGATGCCTCTTTCTGCAAAATTAAAGTTAAAAGAGGAGCTAGCACCCTTTATTAATCAAATTTATTCAAAATTTGCTAATGTTAGTTTAAAAGTTTCTTGTAAAAGAAAGCAATTATGGAAAAAGTAAAATCAGAAATAAAAGTAGTCATCTCTGAATTATAAGCAGACCCATTTGATTAACTGTAGTACAATAGGTTAATGTTGGTAAAATATATCTGAAAGATTGTGTATTTATGCTTATTTATATGATTTTGGGCATTTTTATTATGATAATGCAAGTTGTTGATCTTATAATAGATTATTTTTGACATGCAGATCATCAGACATATCACCTGACTGTTAATTCTATAAAATATTTTAAACTTTTATAAATAAAAAATTAAATACAATTAATATTACTTTATTTATTAATAAGTTAATTTAATATTCACATTTTTAGATTTTTGAGTATGTATTAATATAATAATAAAAAATAAAATAAAGGTTTTTAATAAAAAATTTTTTTTTTATTAATAATTTATTTAAAATACAAATCTATTTTATATTAGATTATATAATTAAAATACAATTTTATATTTATTATATTATAAAGATAAATATAAAAATATTTTTATATTTTAATAAATATTTATATTAATAATTAAATTATTAAAATTATATTAAAAATTTTTTAATTGATTTAATATAAATAATTTTTTAAAAAATTTATATATATTTTTTTAATAAAATTGCTTTTATTATTAATTTAATATTTGATATAATTTTTGTTAATAAAATCTTTAAAAAAAATAAAAAATAAACTTTTAAGATAAAATATTAATAAAAAAAATATTTTTAATTTAATAATTAAAATTATTAACATTGTAACTTTTTTTTTTTTTTTATTATATTGTACTATTTATTTTTATAACTAAAATAATACTTTTAAAATAAAATTTAATTAGTTTAATATAATTTATTTTAAATTTTATTAATACTTATATTTTCTGTTATAAAATCCTATATTATATATAGAATATTTCTGATTAAACCTAAGAAATTCATTAAACATAGTTTTTAATTTTCTATGATTTCTTAACTTTTATTAATTTTAATTAGTTGAGAAGTAGCAATAAGATTATAAATCAAATTAGTTTTTAAATATTTGAAGTTATATCAACAAAATAAATAAAATTTAATCAAAAAATTATTTTTAATCTTTGAGAATTTATTTTTAAAAATTTTCAGATTTAGATTTAAATAAATCAATGTATTGTGTAAATACTTCTAAATGATCAAGTTAGGTATTTAAATACATTTAACAAGGTAGCAGTAATAATGAAATACAAATTAAATTCTTTGATAAATAAAATCCTGTATATAATTTAAAATACATCATCATATGATATCAATAAATGTAAACATTAAAGTAATATGACGCTTTATCTTGAAAAAAATTTAAGAACGATCCTTTTTGTACTCTTTTCAAAAAAGTTTAAGATGGACTATTTACCATTGTACATTAATTTTTTTTTGCGTTGTTTTAAAAATAAACAATGAGAATTATATTTGTTATTGCTATTTTTATTTAGTTAAAAAATTGTCCAAAATATAAAGCTTGAAACTAGGGATTGAAAAGTTTCAAATTCATATTCATGGGAAGCAGGGTGAATACCACCAGATTTCGACTGAAAGAACGATAATGAAAGGAACAATCATTCCCGGTTAATATTATAAAAATTTTTATTTAATCGCTAAAATTAGATTTTTTTATTTAAAAAAAAAAAATGATGTCGTTTTTACTCTTTGTTATTAATTGATCTTCGAGTCAAAATAATTAAAAATTTGTTCGTGATACCTTAAATTATATTCGTGTAGCATGTCAAAAAAACAAAAAAAAAAAAAAATCATTTTTACAATGGACAAACAATTTTATCAAATGGATTGATTTGATTTGAATTAACATAAAATATTGAAAAATTAATCGCCAAAATCAGCAAATTTTTTTTTTTTTGTTTTTATTAAAATAAAAAAACGTGAGAATCTACGATTTAACAGGAGTCCTTTTAAATGAATATCAAAGGAGGAGGGGGTGTTAACTATAATAGGCTAGCTTAAAATCTGGAAACCTGAAAATAGGTCGTAAATCCTTCCAAGTTAAGCACGATCACAATCCTTAAAATAAAGCTGCGCTTTGAATGATTTATGATATAAATATAGAGATATACATATCTTGAAATTCTAATCAAAATAATCATCTATGGATCAACACTTCAAATATAAAATTGACTTTTTAATATCCAACGACACATCTTTGGGTCAACAACCAACACAGCCCGCAGTTAAAAGCACGAGGAAGCCAAGAACAAGGATATATAAGAAAGGCATAAGTAAGATATGTAATGATTGTGAGAAAGTAAGAATGCATTTACATGAAAGTCATCTTACTTGTCACATTTGTTATAAGGCAAACACAATCTTCAAACCAAGTGGGAACAAGGTTATTGATGATTTTGTCAGATATGCACAAATTACACAAATTAAAAATTATATCGGAGGTGGAAAGTTGGAATTTGTTTCTTATGACCAATTCAAAGATGTGCAATTTATCGGCAAGGGAGGATTTAGCACCGTTTATAAAGCCATTTGGATTGATGGTCCAACTAAATTTTGGAACAATAAACTACAAATGTATGACAGGAGCCCGGACAAAATGGTTGCCCTAAAGAAACTTGATGATTCCAAAAACTTGACTTCAAGAGAACTTTTAGAGGTAAACATCCTTTTTTTTTTTTTTTCCTTCTTTTTTCTTTTTTCTTTTTTCTTTCTCATCAAGCGTGAATTGATGATGACAAAAAAAAAAAATTTTTTTTTCTTTAGCTCAAGATATCTTATGCTGTCAGACTGGAAGTATCCAAGAGCTACATTAGCCTCTATTACGGGATGACACAAGATCCCATTACCAAAGATTTTATCATGATCATGGAATATTTCCAGTCGGGAGATCTGACCCAGCATTTGACTCGAACATTTTACGACATTAGCTGGTCAAATAAATTAGGACATTTACTTAATATCACATATGGTCTTAATATGATTCATAAGAAAGGGATCATCCACCGGGATTTTCATAGTGGGAATATCTTGATGGATGAGTTTTCGAAGATAGGTGATTTAGGGTTAAATAAATCTGCTACTAAATCTGAAGATGATGAAACCTATGGAATCATCCCTTATGTGGCCCCAGAGATTCTTCGAGGACAACAATATACTAGAGATTCAGATATTTATAGTCTCGGTATGATTATGTGGGAGGTAATGACAGGCAGAAGGCCTTTTTGGGATCGAGTTCATGATGTTGAGCTTATCAATCAAATATGTGATGGGCTTCGTCCCCCAATTGATGAGATGAACGCACCTGAAGGTTATGTTCAATTAATAAAAGAATGTTGGAATCCCAATCCAAATAAAAGACCAACGGCTAGAGTCATTCATGCTATAATTTCTAGTATTAGAGTTACCGAAAATATGTTGCCAACTGATATTGTAAAATCTTCAAGTATTGGACCCGTAACGAACAACCCGGGCGCTATCTATAAGAGTAGATCTTTGGACAGCATGATAACATCTGCAATGTCTATAAGAGGTTTAAGTCGATTTCAATCAATTTCTTCAGGAGATAACCGAACGGATAAATTTGATCTGATTGAAGATTATAAATACAGCGGTATGTTTTGATTTAAATACTTAATGTAAGTTAAAAAATAAATAAACATGAATTAATTTTAATATATTTCGATCTTTAGCTAGAAGAAATAAAAAAATTAAATTATTAAAGATGAGAGAGTTAAATAAATAAATAAACGTGAGTAAAATATAATTTTATTTCCGACACTTTTATTTATTAATTTGCTTAATTAAAACGCTATTGTTTTGTTTATGATATAGAATGTCTTACCGAGGAATTTGATTTTTGGATCTTGAAATATCTTGAATTTATATATTTTATATATATATATCTCTCTTTTTTTTTTTTGATTTTATAATATTATTCATTTGTCAACTTCTTTTATATAATATCTTTAAAAGAAGTCATATATACGCAACACCGTAAAGCACGTCCCAAAGATGCTCTGGAATACTTAACGTTTTTTTTCTCATGATTTTAAAATTTTATCATATTATTTGAATAAATAATATAAATAAATCATTTATCTTATCATTTATCATTACCATTTCATATTGGTAACAACTTGGAACAATTTAGGTATTTTAAACTTTTCATTGGCTTTTCTGCACGTACTTGAAGTATAAAATAATTGTAAAGAAGTTAGGTGTATGTACGAAATCAACGAAAATCTGGAACATTGAATTAATTTTAAAATCTTCTTCCTTTAATACTCTTTGAATTTTAACATCAATAAATGAGTTCATTGAAAATTTTGCAGTTGGATCAAGGTCGCGATGAGTCTCGAACGAGTTCTGTCGGAAGAAATCTCTGGAGGTATAACTTTTGAATGCATGCATTTATAAAAAAAAAAGGATGATGCGTAAATGGTTGTAAATTTCAAGGCATATATAACTTTACCAGTGTTCTCCATTTATCTCAATGCTACTACCGTCCTTATTTATATAAAACTAAATTTAAACTGGAAACCGTACTTAAATAACTTTTTTGGAATATATCCAAAAAATATTCTTTTCGGGTTCTGGCTATTCAATCCTTTAAATCAATTGACATTTTTTCAGTAGAAATGGAGGAAACCGCTAAAAAAGTTAATAACAAAGACATTGGTAAACTTGTCATGCATGCCTAATATGGAATCATTAAATTTGTTTCTTTAATTTTCATAATTATTTAGAAAATGCAGGTTGAATTTTTTTTTTTTTTAATATACCACCAAAAACAGTACATTTGCTATTTGCAAATCTTACATGAACAGTTTTATTTATGAAAATACGATTCAAATTTCATCTAACTGCGCCTCCAAAGTAAGTGATTTAACGATTTTTTATTGTTTTTCTTTTAGGGAACATTAATTAGTTAATTCAAGTGGAAGTGGGTATTCTTATGATTAATTAATTGCGCTGCCGAATCAAATAAGTCTATACAGATAAATGTTGAATTCTTGGATAATTTTTTTTTAAAAAAAAAGATGACAATAAAGTTGAAATTTTTAAATTTGCACCTTTTTATTTTTATGGTATCATTAAATCAATTTTGGATTGCTTGTTTGTTTTTTTACCACGATTGTAAACCGGTGAAGCGTTAATCCAAAGTTCCAAACGCATTCTGGTGTTAATTCCATTTCTTGATTGAACTACATGATTTATTTATTACAAAGAAATGAGAAAATATGTTAATAACTTGCGAACGCTAAAAGGGTGAAGGCAATCGTAAAAATTTTACTTACGTCGATGGTTACGATGACGCAATTTATGAACCAGTAGGGGAAGGGACTCCAGATGATTTTAAAGGTGCTTAATTGAAACATTTTATGTTGCAAGTACAGATTCTCGTATTCTAAACGAACTTCATCATCGGCGTTATTCCAGGCTTCAATGATTTTTCGATTCTTGAGAGGTCGATTCAAACCTTTATTCATTGTTTTCAAGACATCAAATTTGAAAAGCATGAAAGGGTTCAAGTTTTTTTGATTTCTTTTGCTAAATTTTACACAAGGTTCCCACATCAGGAATTCATAGTTCGGTTTTAAAATCACGACTTGTTTCGTAAAAGTATCTTGATCGACGTTTAATAAACACCTCATCTTTGAAATTTTGCAAACGAGAATGAAAAAATTTATAAAAATTTCTTCGAATAAGTGAAAATCAACCCTTTTAAATATAAAATGTTTTTTAAAAAAAAAAGTTTTATACTAGATTTTTTTTTTTTTTTTTGATCAATAAAGACAATTCATTAATTGATGAAACAAAGACTTTATAGATTAACTTAATGAGGAGTCGTACAATGAAAATACTAATTTGGGGGATATCAAGCAATATAAAAAAACATCGGTTTAATATCCATTAACATTTCCCGAGTAGATTTACGGCTAATACCCAAAATGAACAAGGTAATTCTGGTCAAAGGAGGTTGTATTAGATCAATCAAAAAACCCCTTCTAATAGAAAGAATATCCTCGATCTTGTTAATCAACTCGTTCCTATATTTTCATAGATTCTTTCAAAATGACTAATTTAATAAATTGAATTTTGAAAGGAAAAAAAAAAAAAAACAAATAATGACAATCATATGAATGAATGGATAAGTAAATAATCGGGGGGATATTCCACAATCTGATTACCTAAAATAATATTATAAATAGTAATTAGAAATGAACGGAATTAAGCGACGCAGCATCGCTGTTTGTTTGATTAATGAAAATAATTATTTAACAATAAGAAAGTATATTATTTACGTCATTAATTATAATCGTAAACAAACAAAATTGATTCTTCCTTGTGATAGAAACATCTTTGTCCCTTCTTCTTATCATATTTCATGCATAGCTAATAGGTTATGATAACGTGACAGATGGTGAGTTCATCACATTTAGCTATTTTGCATCTACCTGTTAACGGTTTTGCTAACACAATAAAATTGCGGTTTCTTGTTTCTTTACTTTTTACTTTTCCCTTTTCCTGTTATTCTTATTATTTTTTAAATACAATTATTTTTACAACCATTAACAATCTTGGGAAAATTCAACTTCTACTTAAATGAAATCGTAAGTGCATTTTACTTTGATTTTCCCGCGCCACATTAGTTGCGAGCGTTATCATTTTTCCAATTTGTTTTAAATCTCTTGAAAAATAAATTATTTTTATTAAAGGATTAGCAATGGTAAAAAATGACCATACATACATACAAAATGCATTACCAAATACTATTCAACTAATACAACTTGATTATTATTTTTTTTTCTCAACTCTAATAAAAATTTCAAATTTGGCAAGTTAGTCTCAAACAAAAATGGATCCGCTACTGTAGGCCGCAGCACGTAAAATTTCAAGCGCATATTTCAAATCTTATCCTCTTAAAACCTCGTCACTTTGCTGAACATTTAACTTTTTCCACAAACTATGGCTGATCAAATAATTAATGAATCAAACTCTCAACTAAGAAATAAATTTTATTTTTTTCCTGAAGAAATGATTAAAATAATTGATATTTTTCTGAAGGATATGTTTTAATAATAAAATCTAATTACACCTTTATGAAATCAAAAAATTTTTATCGGTGTATAAATTGCAACGATTATTCAACGTCTGAACATTATAAACATCACATGCAGACACTTCTAACGCAAAGCTTCTGAATGGTGCATTACAGGTTTTCTAAGCAGACCCACACGTTTCTTGTTCTCTGAGCCACAAAAACCCACTCGGTTACCTGATGTTTGGGAGGGGAAACAAGGGATATACAATTGAAAGATCAACTTGCGATTTCAGTTAGCATCACAGGAAACCTTTTGGAAGTATCAACGGAACTTTTTTTTAATTCACTCAAAAATATGTCAAAAAAGGAGGACATGAAAAGGTACGCATTATTTCTAATAAACTAGATTTCTAATTTTAAGGTCAAAGATCCAAAAAAAGGACAAGGATTACTATTGCGATGCGATGCCCTCTTGCCGATCACTATATAAATAACAATTGTTTTTACAATAAGGGTCAAGATTCATTCATATTTTTGCATTTGCGAGAGAGAGATATATATAGTCTATAATGATGTTGTTTATATAAAAATGGTAATTAAAGCACTGCCTCGTCACAACCAGAAACATTGATCAGTGAAAATATTTTAATAATGTCTTCTAAAAATATAGCGAGCTAATTTTTTGGTGCATATCATAAATTCTCAATAGATTGCATTAACAGTATGTCATAAAGGTGGTCAAATCGGTCCTATGGTTTTATTTGGTCTTTGAAATTTTTTTAGGACTATATTATGAATTCAATAATATATTGAACTACATTTTTTAGCTTTGGAAGTCCTTGTACTGGCTTTCAATACAAAAAAAAAATTGCGATATAGTTAAAGAATTCGATGAGAATTTGCGGACTTGCGAAGAAATCTTTGGTCAGGACATTCTAGTCAACCTGATCTCACAAATTTAGCGATGGATCCTTTTAAATGCTTATAATGTGGAAAGATGAAGTTTCTACGAAGAATTTTAAGTTTATATATTGCTTCTATTCCGGATCAAATGATGAAATTGATAATTGAAGTGATAGCACCGATTATTAAATTTTCAGTGTACTGTAGTTATTTTTATTTGATTTTTGATCGTTGTCGATTTTAATAAATCAAGCCAATAACGTTTAATTAATTTGCGTTAAATTAAATATAAAACTTATAATATACAAATTTCTAATAATGACAAATTTCCAATGAAATTGACTTATCAAATTAGGGTTTAAAATTTTTATAATTCGTTCGTTATATAAATTATATTCAAAGTTAAACCACATCTTGAAATTATTTTTTTTTTTTTTTTGACAATTCAGGAAGTTTTGGAGATGGAAACAGGTGCTTCATTGGGGTGTGCTGTCGACATAGAATAAACTATATAATAAAATATTTGGAAGATTCTAAACTACCTAACGAAATACTTCACTGGTGTAAAATTTGACCTATATTTTAAAGCAATTGCATATGGTCAAAGCTTGTCATTAAAGTGCTTTTCAAAAATGGATTCAAAATTTTTTGAGCAATCTCAAACTGTGGAATTAAAACATTGATCGTTTATTTTGTCTACCAGTTTCATCAAAAATTTTGAAGTTGATTACAGACCACTTCAACATTGTGAAATAGTTGTAAATCCTCTTGTAATGTGACTTTAAGTCTAAAAAGCACTTTCAATAATCTTTTATTCCAATTGCATATTGCACTCTTGAATAGTGCATTTTCTTTTTCATTTGTGAATAATTACAGACCTTCGTTCGTCCATAACTCGTTTTCAGCTTTAGATAAATAAAAACAAACAAAAGAAAATCTATAATTCTGACCAACAGGTAAAGTCTGAGGAGACTAGAGATGGAAACATAATACAACATCACAGCGACCTATTGAGATGGTAAAATGATTATGATAAGATTTGGCTCACCAGCAATGAATGGACACGCGATAAACCAGTTGTGAATGCATTCAAAGTGTATGACCGACGGCAACACTGGGTTCTGCTGAGTACTTCTAACAGAGTGATTTCGATTCCCACAGGCAAATTAGAATCTATAGAAGGAAGTTTACAGTAAGCTGCCGCTATCCTGTACAGGAAGCTTTCGTAAACTATAATCACGAAATATTTCATTTTTACAAAGTCTAGTCTACACAAGGAAACTTATCTATGTCTCTTGACTCACTTTTTGTAGTTTCTCTTGATTAATCCCTTATAAAATCTTTTAACGTTCTCAATCCAGTTCCTATTAAATTCAAAAAACCTACACAATTTTAAGTAAGATGTTATCTCGTATTCTGACCAATATATGTAATTATAAAAACAAATTTCCAAATAAACTTGTGCGTGACATCTTTAAATTTTTTTCGAAATAAAAAAATAACAATTAATCAATTCCTCAAAAATAGATATGAACCTACTGAAATTAATAAACTATAAAGGAGCAGTGATTACAGGCCGATATAATATGTTTATATTTCAGATGTTGAAAAAGAATGTGATGTAAACTAAACTTGTTTAGTAATAGTTGCTGCAATAACTACTAAAAAAATGAATAAAAGATACCATAACCGCGGAATTATGAAAGGTGATTGTGTCTTGGGTTCGAGTTCGGCTGCCTCCCGAAAAAATTTATTTCATATTGTTTTTTGAATTTAAAAAATTTAAAGAATTTATATTGGCAGCAAAATTACGTAAATTGGTTGGAGTATTGGTCACAATTATGCCAGTTTTAAATTTCCATATGCTCGATCACACGAGTTCTTTATGTTTTATTTATTTCTGTACAGCTCTTGTATATTAAATTAAAGTTTTTTTCTGTACATTTTCTCTGTTATATTTTTCATAGGAAATTATATACTTTTTGGAAGCAGTTTTGTAAATTCAAATCATTCCAGTAAGTACGTAAGCTGTGACCGCTTAAAACCAAGAACAGCGAATGCGAATATTTAAGTTATAAATCTATCATGCGAAAAATCATTGAAGTATGGATCTTGCGCCACATTTGTGCATTTTGTTGAATATATTTAATAAGTCGAATTTATATATTACGTAAATGAACTGGAGTATAAAATTTATAATTCTTGTTATAAAAGAACAATCGTAAGATTCTTTTGTTGAAAGAATCGAAGCTGGGTTGATTAACTGATGACCTCTTAGAAGCTATAATGACTTTGCAAGAACACCTCGACAAATTATACGCTCGTCACTCATTTTTTTATTTATAATAACGAATTACTTTTATTAATCTTTAAGTATTTTGAAATGTTTCAAATCAACATTTTTAGCACAGAATTTTTGATTAATACGTAGACAGAAAAAATTTCCCAAATATCATTTTTTTTCTTACCTGTAATGTTATAATCTCAAATTCCCGATTCATTATTGTTTTTGATCATAGAAAAATTCTCTGGGAAAAACGTTTCGGATTTTGAAAAATAGTTTCGCTTGAAACACTACTTCTTGACCACCATTCGTACACGCTAATAAAAATTGATAAATGATTATTGGATCTCGAGATTGTTTTTAGCATGATTTATTGGTTTCATACCTTAATGAATTCCCATAAGAAACCCGGAATTTTTAGCAAGGAGGAGAGAAATTATCCAAGAAATTGATTATCAATCTTTTTAAATGGCTTGATCCATCGTAATTCACTTGTTAAAATGTAATAAAGTTACAACCTAGAATAGAAACTCGAAGCTACCCAATGTAATGTAACTTTAATCCATAAACCTTAATGTCACCCTATCGCTATAAAATAACCAGTTATTAAATAAGTTGAGACCCAAGTAACCAAAAAAAAAGCTCAAGTTCACGAAGTTTGCGACCAAGGATCAGTCTTACCAGAAAATCCCGCAACTCACCCAAACAGAAAATTCCACAACTCACCCTTATGGGAGAATTTGGTGGTCTAATATCATTTGATATTTTCCCAAGGATTTGAACTCATCCGGACATTATTGAATTGTTTATAGTGCCAGTTATGTACAACATATAGTTTCCTGTTGAGCATTTTATTGCAAGGCCAATATAGATCTTTGGTATTATTGTCCTCGCGTGAAAAATGTACAACCCAACCTCGATGGACATAGGTGTTCTTGCATAATCAAGAACCCTTTTGAAATTCTCTTTTAAGATTGATGGAAGCGCTGTTGTCAGAAATTCGAGCACAGAAAGAGGATTTTGATTATCACTTTGCTTTATTACCAAATCACTAATAGTGATGGTAATTCCCATCGTTCAAAGTGACATTGGCCGGTTATTTCAAAACTATGTACCTTTGCTAACTATTATGCAGGATTCGATACATCTCTGCATCATAGACACTTTTCCCAAGAAACTTTTTTATATTGCTCATAATCTATTCGTAGATGTTTTGAGCTTTTATATGAGTGAGAAGAACCTCTTTCAATAGTATTCTTGTCAAAGTATGTACGGCTAACTTTATAACTTCAAGAGGATCTAATGAACCATTGGCTTTCAACGGTACATCTTCGTCAGGAACAAAGCATGTCATTTTTGGATAATTATAGGAATTATAGATGAAGTGCTTATTGAATCTGTTGCACTTCTCTTTTTTCCATTATTGGACGATGACGAGGTTGGTGACGAAGGGCTCCAAAAGTTATTATTAGCTTGAAGAACATCGGTCTATATAAATGAGAAAATAAATCACAAAAGAATAATCAGAAAAAAAATTAAGTAAGGTGGATGGCTGGATGCTGGAATATAAAGTTTTTGTATTAAAAACTTTCTACTAACTTGTAAGGGTAAGAAAAGTGTTACCACTCCCATTAAAATGAATTTAATAGGTACAAGAATAAACCTGGCCTCATATGACTATAATCATATGCACTTACTTTTTGCTTATCAAGAGTCGCTGGGCACATCACGGACTTTTTGAGACATATTTTCATTGTCATTAATTGAACAACATGATCTGTAATAAACGGTTTTCATTAGAAGAAGGCATTGGTAAAAACCACAACTTAATAGAAAAAACATTTCTTTACCTAAAGAATACTTGATTATCTAGATCTAGTTGTTGTATTAATCATTTCCAGAATTATTTATGGTTACTTTGCACCTACAAATTTGAAACCCAAGTGCTACAAAAGCCGAAATCTTTTGTGAGCTGGCAGTGACCAAAAGTCGACGATAAATTCCCATCAGAATACAGATGGCGTGTGAGTATTGAACAGGACAGGACATCGCAGGAATATCAGGATTTTACACAAAGATAATATAGAAATAAAACCTGGAAAGTATAGAGTTTATTAGAGGTTTAATAAAATAAAATAAATAAATAATAAATCTACAATTTAGGAGTACTTACCGAAAGGAAACTCGATTCATTAAAATCCATTTTTTCGTGAAAATTAGAAAAGTGTTTGCATGTTATACAACCACAAAATTAGTCTTGTCTCACCATAGAAAATTTTAAAATGGTAAGATTTACAATAAATAAAAACGTGACGTGTACTACATAATTATTAAATCCTTAAAACATACTCTGTTCTAAAGGAGTGTATTTCTGAATTTCACTTTTTAAAAATAACATTTTTAACATTAACCAATATTACCAGTTATTCATAAGAGATTTTTTGTAAACGGCTGGAAGTGTCAAAATCAACACTGAAGCATATATCGAACAGTTAGAGGTAAAATTGAGATAACAATTTTGCATCATAATAATTTTTTTGCAATGCTATTAACTAATTATTTCAAATATCATTTCTTAATTTTTAATAACATTTACGAAAAGATAATTTTGGCCGTGATGATGAAATGTACTGAAGAATAAGCTTAGTATTTCATATTACGTTTAGCTTAGTTAATTAGCGAAACTAAAACGCAGGATATATTAGAAGCACGATCCCGTAGGCAAGAAATATACGGGTATTTAATAATATGGATGGTAACTGTTATTTTATGAAATGCAGATAATATTTTAAGCGAAGGTCATTGCTATTTATATCAGAAATGTAAGTCATGAAGTTATACATTGATTAATTCTTTATGTCGATGCAATCAAGCCAGATTTAAACTAAGGTCTGCTATATTATTTACACATTTATTTTTTTAAACATAATAACTAATGTATTTTTATTTTTGTTGATGTTTAAAAGAGGCTTTTCTTACTGTCTAGCCAGGAGTATAGAATTTGGACACGAAATGTGAAAACTTTCATCTAAAATTTACATCGTGTTTTGGAGATTCAACCAACTACACCCTGATCGCATTATAGTAGAGAGAGTAAGTTTTAAACCTTAATGAAATTATTATACAAGAAACTGGGTAATACGCTAGTATTAATGGACGTAATGGTGCAATGTAATATTAGTCAAATTTTATGAGGTATTTGATATAGGCGTTAGCTTCTTTAGCTGCGAGAATTTAAATCTCATAATTTTATTTGTTGGCGTTGGAGATTTTTTTTTTCAAAAAAAAAAGAAGCGGCTGCAGCATTTGACTGTACATCATGATTCATTACAATCTTTTTTTACCTAGTATTAACAACAAAGAATGTCCCATCAAATGAATATTTCATGGCCTCAACGAGAATATAATAATAAGCAAACTAATGGGATTTCTGTAAAATTGAAATACTTTGAAGGGCAAAAGTAAGAGTGAAATAATTTAACTTACGCAATAAGTAATTTATACGTTAGTAACTATTTGATTTTGATTTCTTTCTTTTAGGAAATTCCAATCAAAGATAACGTAGAAACTTTTATTCAGAAAATTTCTACCAATTGTTAAAGTTACTATGATCACACTTTTCTTTCTCATAGCTTTATTAAAAATTTGCTAAAAATATTTACAAACGATATGGGCGGCAATCAATAGAAAAGGCGGAAATCTAAATTTTGATAATTTTTTTTAATAAGTTCACTTGACTGGTCACAGTCAGGTAAAAGGAAAGTTGGATGAGGAGACGAAAAGAAATCTTAATGGATTTATATTTGAATCTATTAAAAAAAGACGATTAAGGCCAAATTTAATTTGGTATTTTTATTTTAATAAATTTAATTTTAAATTCGGATTTAATTTTTTTTTTTTAATAATAATTTATTTATTTCTTGTAATGTAAATTATTTTTTTTTAATCTTTTTAATACCCGCGATTTTTTTTTATTAATTTTAATGATATTTAATTTTAATTTTATTTCAGCATTTATAGTAAATTATTTTTTTAATTTAATATAAATGTTATAACTTTCAGGCTAAAGCTATTTTTTGTAATATACAGTATATATATATTTTTTTTATTTAAAATATGATGGTTTAAATTTAACACAACACAAAAGTGCCACAGGAAAGCTTAAATCACAAATTTATAATGTTTTAAATAATGATTTGGATTTGGAACGCAAATAGGAATGAGCGTTAATTAACCTGGTTAATTAATCTACCTGAAAATAATTTAAATCGACCAATCAAATAAGAGAAAATTAAAAAATTTTTTTTACAAATTTAAAAGTGATACAAAAAAAAAATATAACCATTAATTAGGTCTTAGACCAGTTAATGCAGACCAGGGACAATGATTTATTGTGATCACAGAATTTCACAAAATTTGGTTCAAGTTTTTGGCCTAATTTAGGATTTGACAATCATTGTAATTCCGGTAAACACTAAATTTGGGCAGAATTTACGAGTCGTAATGTTGGCCAACCTTGCTTAAATCCGGCCAAATCACAAAATTTCACAGAATTTATTTTTATCACACACAAAATTTACTTTATATCACCACAAAAAATCATCGTCCCTGATGCAGACTTACGGACCGATCCGGTCCATAAGAGAGATAAAAGACCGGTCCAACCCTAATTTGTATTATTTTATAATATAACAATTTATAAATATATAATAATAATAAAGGACCGGTTGCAAGGACGGCCTTATCAGGACCGATCCATTCCTAGGGTTAATTATATAAAATTGTTTTTTTTTTTAATTATAAAACAGGTTTTCATCTATCTTATGGACTGGAGCGGTACATAATTCATTCCTTGGAATCTGTCTTTTATTTGTGTACCTATTCATAAGTCCAATTCTTTCTACAACTTATTGCACATATATTGACATTTACGAAACTATAATGTCCGAAATGAAAATGGCAGAAATGTCGAAAATGTAGAAATAACGGATTAAGATGGCGCATTTATCATTTGCATGCAATAATTATTATTATTACACTTTTTATATGTATGATTTAAATTGTTTTATTAATTTATATAATTTTAATATTTTGAAATTGATTATTAAAAATGTGAAATGTGTGTGGTGAATAATTTTTTTTTTCAAATATGTTCTAAACCGGTCTTATAAATAAGTCTAAAAAATGAAACAAATTTTGGACCGGACCGGACTGGTAGGGCCGAATTGTACAAGACCAGCCTCTGTACAGGTCTTAGGACTGACCTATGGACCGGTCCGGTCCAAAGAAAGATGAAAGACCGGTCTTTTTGGACCGACCGATCCAACCCTAGCAGTAACTGTGCTACAATAAATATTATCATTCCTATTTAATTGAATGAGATGTTTTCTAATCTTCTCAACTGCTTTGCTCGTGTTCATGTTTAAAAAGTCGAAAATTGCGAATTGCGAAAATTATGGTTTAATAGATTTGAAATATGGACTTTTAAGATTAAGATTGAAATAGAAAATATTAGAAAAAATTCAAGAATCAAAGTTTTACCGTACTCCTCTAAGTGTCGGATTAAACAAGTTACCCTCACGAACGTTTATTAAAAATATACTTATTGGAAAATAAGTCTTATTATTTGATTTTTTTTTAAAAAAAAAAATTAGGTATTATTGATATTCAATTACAGTATTTGCATTTTAAGAATAAACAAACATTGTTTATTTAAATTGCGGTTTTATAAGAATTATAACTTTGCCATATATATACTATTAGCAATTGTGTTACGAGAACTTATTTACTACGCCGTTAAGAAACTCCTCCATTTTGTACGACCCTCAATAATTGAGCGCATATGTTTATGTCGCTCAAAGTTGTTTTTTCGCTTGTAATTTGTTACTTTACTGACCATATGGTATTTTGCATTTTAATGATTACTTTTATTAGGAAGATTAAAATTATTTCTTTTTAAACCGAATACAAACTAAAATCTCTCTTCTAAAACATGACAGCCGAAAAACAACTAGATGAATCCAACGTTTACCTTGGTTGGTTAGAAAAGGCAATATCAGAAAACTATATTAAATATTATAATTACGATAAGTTCGCTAATAGGAAAGAAATCAGCAGCTGCTCCTATGGGAACGTTTCTCGTGCAAGCTGGGGAGATTCCGGTACTATCATGGCCATAAAATATTCACATAACTTAACCATTAAAGA